GGCCTGCGACCACCTCGCGGTTCTCAAGTCGTCCACGGCGCCTTCCAAGGCCAGCATCGACGAGATGCAAGAGGCCTTCTTTGACTATGTGCCGCTTGGAGACGTCGACCCCTCGTGGACACAGGGAGGTAGCCACGACCGATGTTAGCCACGGACGCCACGGACATCGAGTCGAAACGCTGAGACGGACATCGAGTCGAAACGGTTTACATCGAGGTTTGCCAGGTGAGGGTGACATGTCAGGAAAAGTGAGGGGAGTGTGTAGCAGACAGCCCAAAGATATGAAGCAAGCCATTGGGCACTTTCCAAGCTCTGGCAAATGTGAAAAGGATTGCATTTTTGCGAGAATGCAAGGAGTCTGTTTGTTCCTTCTCAAAGGCAGCCGACTTGGCCCGTGGCTCCAGTCGCATGCTTTGACCCCACAGCTTCACCAGGCTGGACCCTTCGCTTCCGGTCCGTGCCACCGAGGCCGCACCGGGTCCTCCGCGATTCGGCCGTGGTGTGGTTCGCACCGCCTGCCGCGCCCGCCACCTGAGGTATGAACAAATCAGCGATCGTGATCCAGAGTTCTTTCACACCAAGGTGGGGAACGTGGCTTCCGAGGTCCGAGACCTTCGGCGAACTCCGAACGACGTGTGGCTTCGGAGGTTGTTCGTTCGGCGTGCACCGAGGGGGTTCGTTCTTTGGGTGGGTTCGCCATGGTTCGATGCGGCTGATGACAGTTGGGGGCATGTGAAGGGTGATCATTTTGGCCATATGGGTTTAACTGTTTAACACCCCATGACTGGGATTTGAGGCAAAAAAACTCGGGTCTGAGGATGGTGAGCTGATGTTTTGAGCCACCCAGGAAGGGATCTCTATGATAGTGATAGCGCTTGATGGACCCGAGGTGGATTTTCGACCGACCTGATCGAAACCGGTTAGCCTCCCTGTAACAATCGAATTGGATGGCATGCACCCTCCTCGTTCGTCACAGAATGTCCTCTTGTTCTGCTTCATCCATCGGATATGATCACCATCATCGCTGTGCGAAGAAAAGCCTTTGGGATCGCTTTGAGATCTTTGTTGTAGAGCCCCAACCAAAAGAGACCTCCAACGGGTCCCCCGCAACCCCTCTGATCCACGCCTCCGGTCCGGCCTCGCCAGGAGGTGCCGCAGGAGCTGCGCTACGGCGTCCAAAAGCGGCTCTCCGAGAAGGCGCACGGCGCACGCCGCGAAGTCATCCGGGGCGACGGATCTTGCGGGGCGACGGGAAAAAAGAGGAAATCCGGTGGAGGGCTCAAAGCGGGGGGATGGTGGACTGTGACTGGTCCTTTTTGGGCAACCACGAATGGAAGATGAAGATGAGGAATCAGGAAGTGAAGAAGGTCCCTCTTTTGGTCAAGAAGTCTTCCAAGTGCCCAGGCCATCCACAGTTTTGCACTGTTTTCCGAGGGCGAAACAGGAGTTCCATTGTTCGTGACCTGGGGAGTTCACCGGCGTGAGCCTCGCGTGAGGATCTCAGCTCAGTCGCTGGATCCCGGTGCGACCGACCAAAGGCGTCGTTCCACCGCTCCCCATCATCGGTGTTTGAAAGTCTCGGGTTCGAAAGAAAGTCAGCTTCCGGGTTCGGTAGCTCCTTCTCTGTGGCGCTGAGTGGACAGAAGACACCTCTTCGCTGGGTGCTTTCGCCGCTCGCGACGCGGCGGGCCTTCGAGCGATCGATCGTTGGCCAACGCCGATAGTCGGACATGTCGTCCGGGATTGGCATATAGCCCTCTTTCGCCCCCATTCTCTTTGGGGGGGCCCTTCCCCCGCACCTGGCGTAGAATCTGTGATTCTTGGTATCTTTTTGGGCCCTTCGTAGATCATCAAAAAGCGTAGGTTTCTCCACCACCCAACAACACACCGCTCTCCGTTTTTTCGCCGCCAGAAGCACAACATGAAGTCGCAGATGTTGCCCCTCGGTGACCGAAGGCGGTGGCACCGGAGGTACCGGTGGCGGTACCCGGCTGCGGTGATCAACGAAGGCAGACCGTGAGATAGACATAGACCCCCCCTGAAGATGTTAAAATACATCCAATCACTACCCTTTGGGTGGTGCTGGTCTATATCATATATATATATACATATTTATATACCCTAGAAGTCGAACCACCATCGTTTTAATAGCCTTTGCCGAACAACCGTTGTTTCACTAAGGGTTTTACACTACAAAACCAGACCAACCATTTTTAAAATGGTCGACTTGACTTCTAGGGTATATATATATATATTTAGTTTGTTTAGCCGCCAATTCTTCATCTCCAGATGTTCAGCCGCGGTTCAGGGTGGGACCGTTCGGGGGCAATGTAAAACCGTCCAAAGCCATGTGTTCAAGCCATGTTCAAACCATGTGTAGTTGCCTTTACGTAAGTACGGGATGGATTGAGCTCACATGTGTTCTGACTTGGAAGTTCCTAAGGTCAAAGAGATGAATTTACCTAAGACTATGAATACTACCACCGAAGTTCCCGAAATATAGGTCCTTAGCTCAGTGTCTGTGTGGAACAGACCCACCATCTGTAGAGGCCAAAAGGGCCCACCATCCCAACAAGAAGCAGGAGGCAAAAGCACTCCAGGAGTCCATTGATTGGAGCTTTAAAAAACGGTGAGACCACCTGGGATGGATGATCACAGAAGGTTCAGTGTTTGGACAGGCCTTGATTCTATAGCCTATCCTACACCTGACGTTTCCTAGCCATAGAGCCTATACAAAATGCACAACCCTGGACCATAGGAACAATCAAGGGGTACGGTCCCCCGGGTGCAACCCTTCGACTGGCGCAGGGGTGCGGTCAGCCCGTCGCGTGCTCGTCGATGGTTTACACCCTGGGAGTCCAGTCGACCATTTTTTTCAAACGGTCTGACCAGATGATCCGAGTGAAAAGGTATTTCCTGAACACTTGGGTGGTGCCTCAAATAGTCGAACTGGACTTCTAGGGTACACCTCGACAGCTCAACGGTCTGGATCGACGCTCCGCTCCGCTCGCGGCTTCGTGGCCGATGAGGTTCAGCCAACGGGTCAGCCTCGTTCCTCGTTCGCCATGCCCCCCCGGCGGCCTGGGCCGTTTCGTCGAGCTACGGGGTTCCAGGTGGTGCCACCGCCGGTGGCAAAAACCGGTGAAGAAAGCACCGAGCAAAACCCTTCTCACGCGGACCCTCCGGCCGAGGATGCAGCAGAAGTTCTTCGAGGAGGATCAGATCGGCGAGATCTCGAAGACCCAAGAGGAGGTGCCGTTTGGCGCTTGGGGGGGATTTGTCCGCCCCGGCGTGGAATCCAAGGTTTGATGAACATGATACGGAGATATACGGAGCGTTTTATGTCTGTCAAAACCGGGGTGTCCAACATCAAAACGTGGAAGAATCCCTTTGGCAAGCCTTGCCTCGACCCAGTCACCAAGTCCATGAACACCACACGCATCTGGAAGACTGGTGTTTTGTGTGAGCCAGTCAATCAGTAAAGTGCTGCATCGTCTTCCAAAATGTTCAGGATTTTCTTGGGTTGATGGTTGTACTGATCACTTGAGTCTGTAAAAAGGTCACGTATACCAATCACTTCAAGGTCACTGGGAAGGTTCTGGTTACCCAGTGCCGATCAGATCAACCAAAGCCTTATTTGGCACCCGAAGAAAGAAACTGACATGTCGAGGATTTGGCAAATTCTCGTGGCGCTTTTGGTGCCATGCTCCATGCTCCAGCCCTCTTGGTGTGACTGGTGTACACTGCAAACAGAAAACGCCATGGGTTCGTCTCACCACGCCATGGCCATCCCTGCCCCCCAACCGACGACATGAGAGGAGTCTGATTGGGCCAGAAGTCGACAGCTTAAGGGCCGAACACGTGGGCACTGCCCGTGGAATCGGGGGGGGACGTCATTGGCCCAGGCGGAGCCTCAGCTGTCGGAGGAGTGTCTTGCCGTGGAAGGTTCAGGGATTTGGGTCGGGTTTCGGTCGGTGGCGCCAGAGGCTTTGGGAAGAAAAGCTGAAGAGAAGATGTCTCTTTAGATGCTGACTTCTCCATTGCTACTTAGTAGCTTCTTGCTTCTTGGTCGCTTCTTGGCCTCCAACCCAAGAGCGATGGCCTGGTGGATTCTTGTTACCCAGACGCTCCGAAACCACAGCTCGACTGGTGCTCCCTCAAAACCGGGATTGGTTTCGGCTCCGGACCCCCTACTGAACGGAAGGTCCGGATCCTCGCGTCTGGGTAGAGAAACCCACTCAGATGGAGCTGGATGCTCAACCGGTGAAAGCTTGGATGCCCAACGAACCGCCCCGGAACCGTACCCGGCGGCGGCGCCGCTTTGGCCGCCCGAGCCGGTGCAAAGGACTCCTGGGAAACCCAAACAAGCAAGGAGCAAAGCAGCAAAGGGTTGGAAAAGCCAATATGGCAAGACAGAGATCCTTTACATAACAATCTATAGGTTGTTTGCATAGTGTTATTTGTTGTTTGTGGAAGCATCCGAAACGTTTCTGTTTTGAGACTGGGCTTCCACCAGGTCGTCCTGAATGCCGCCCAGGCAGCTGGCGAGTCGTTTGCCGAATTTGAGGGCTGAGGCCCAGCAGCTGCGACAGCAGAGGGCCGGGAGCACCCAGCGGTCCAAGCGAGTCTAGAGCAACGAGGGCGAGTCTCAACACGAGGGCGACCCCAACACGTTCCATCAACCATGAGGAAGCAGGTCCAAAGGCTCTCAGAAGCACTGGGTAAGGTCACGACTCGCTGAGGACTCGCTTTGGGCGGAGTTGGAAGAGATTCAGGCGGAGCGGCCGGTCGGAGCGGGTCGGGAGATGTGAAGCGGGGTGTTCGAACACCGCCGCGGTGGTGAGACACTTCCCGCGCGGCCGCTTGGCGTTCGAACGCGCGAAGCATTTGTTTGAAGAAGAATCCCGGTGAACTTCTTGCTCCTGACAGTTCCACACTTCTTCTCGCAAAGGGTGGACAGGGTTCCGTGAGGGTCGATACCGGGTGCATCACAAAAACCGATGTCTTCTGAGCATGGTGGTCCTGCCATCCATGTGTGGATTTGGGGCATTTGGGTGGTGAGCCTTGGAAGTGACCCGATTGCTTGCGAATTGAGGGAGAATTCTGGTTCCATCCCACCAGATCAGAAATCGTTCCAGCCTCGGAACCTTTCTGAATCCGAGGCGTCCCGGTCACTTTGTGCTGGAGCAGGAAAGAACTTGCACAACTTCTTCTTCTTCTTCTTCTTCTTCTTCTTCTTCTTCTTCTTCTTCTGTGTGTTGGCGATGCTTCAGCACACCAAATCCAAGTGTTCCTTTTAAAGATGCCGTTTCCGACCTCCGTTTCCCCTGGTGCCGTTTCCGACCCCCGACACCTTCGACCCAAAGAGGGGGTCGAACCGCCGCTCGGCTGGCTCAAGGTCGCTCCCTCACGAGTTTGGCTCTCGGTAGTTCAGGGATGAACTCTAGGCTTTCCATGGATCTTCTGAGCGACGTGTTCCTCTGTGGCGCCTTGGGGAGCAAAGGAATCGCCGTCCGAAGGTCCTTCGTCCGGGGTGTGTGGAAGGAACGCGTTCGAAAGGAGAGCGTGGTGGATGTCGGATATGTCCGGGTTCAGTTTTGGGGCTTGGCTGCTCCAGAGGTGCTTTCGAAGAGAACCTGGCTTTGGCTCTTCACCACCGGAGATGGATTCACGAAGAGGGGAGAGAACACGCGTCGGAGCGGAACGTCGCCCTTGGAGACCCGTAGCTGGATGCTGGAGACCCGTGTAGCTCTTGTTGGAAGCACCAAAGCGGGTTGTGAAGTGTCAAGAATCACCACTCCTTTTTCTACGAATCAACAAATGAATTGATCATGTTAAGGTGAAGTTCTTCTTTCCACGGTATGTTAAAGGATTGGGATGATTGATTTTACATTCGATCTTCCTTTCCACTGCAGCCTACGGGATTTCAATGATTCAATTTTATGCTTCTTCAACTTTCTCGAATTGTCCTTGTTGTTGTAGGTCTTGTCTTTCGATGACTTTCACCAATCGTTCATCCCAAGTACTTACCTGAGGGGAAAGAAGCCAGTTTTGCGGGCCGGCACTCCTGCTCCCAGCGACAAAAGCCACCGAAAAGCGCTTCCGAAATACCGAAACCGAACGATGACGCTGCGAGCGCTCCGCGGATGCTCCAGCGGCGGAATGGACGGAGACGGAGACGGAGCAGCGAGACCGTGTCCAGGACCGACGATGAGGACGACGGCGCCCGAGGATGAGGCTTCGGACGATGAGTTTCACATGGAGTCCTGTTCGCCAGTGGCCAACCGCCGGGAGCCGCTGAGAGAGTTCAGTGGGAGAGAGAACTGGTGTGGTTTTTCACAGTGGGAGAGGAAGTGATGGGTTACTCCAGTTCAGAAAAGACCCGGAAACGACCATTCAGTGGCTGTCCGTCGAGCCCCGCTAAAACGCGGGAGAAACGACAGAACGACAGAGCGGAGCCCTTCAAGCTTCACCTCTGGCGCTGTCCAGGAGAGTCCCTTCGTGATCCGCGATGGGCAGAGGCGGCTCAGGAGAACCTTCTCCGTGATGATGGAGGAGGCGCGAGACGATGGAGAAACCTGACGATCCGCGAAACGACCCGGACGGGTCATCTCGACCCCCTATCCGTTTCGACCCGGACGAATGCGGGTGGCCAAACGGGGAGATGGTCATCCCCTCTTCGACGGATCTCGTCTTCCTGACTTCAGCATGCTATGCAGCGCTGTGCTAGGCACGCGTGAGCAACCTGGTGCAGCAGTTTCAGGCGCCGCGCCAGCGCGAGGCGGACAGTGCCGTGGCGACAAGACCCGCCGGTGAGCTTGTCTGACGGTGGTTCGACCGAGTGGGAGAATCGTGGTTCGCCCAAAACTCGACCTACGTCTGGAGACCTAGAAGCGTGGCACCTAATTACAAGTGCATCGCTAGTAGTAACAAGTGCCTTACTAGTAGTAACAAGAAGCTATTAATGTTAATTTAATTCTAATTGTTACTACTAGTAAGGCACTTGTTACTAGTAGCGTGGCACTTGTTACTACTAGTAAGGCTCGACCTACGTCTGGAGACCGGGTAGGGTACCCAGACACGACCCGTCTGGGACTGCCAGGACGGACTGCCTTCAAAACGGCCAGGGGTGGTTTTGGGGGTCAATGGGGCGGCAGTCCTATGGCAGTCCCATCAGTCGTGTTTGGAGACCGGGTAGGGTTGTCCATCCAGGTGACCTGCCAGGAAGCAGCGTCTGACCTCCCGGATTTCGGCGTGTCGTGTGGGGTCCACCGTCTCCACCGTCTCCACCGTTCCTCCGAGCGTCCGCTTTCCCGGTTCTGAACCTCGTTCTGTGATGTGTGGTGGTGTTGGTTTTTGGTGAAAGAAATCCAAACAAATGGAAAACCCATTAAAGCTTCAGACTCCACGCAACGCCATCAATCCATCAGCCGACCTGGGGCGACCGCTCCCATTCTGAACCTCCGACCGAGATCGGCTTCCCAGGTGAGACCTGGAGCCCGATCCATGTGGCCGCGCAGCAGGGCAGCTCGGACGCCTGAAGCGGTGCCCGATTCGGGGTGCCTGAATAGGGATCTCGTGTGTTGGGTGGGGTGGAAAAAAACGGTTTTGGAGCGAAGCCATGGGCAGAAGATGGGAGAAGGAAACCTGAAAGAGAAATCTGTTGGATACCTTTGGATACCGCCAGCTTTCCACAGACCTGCGGACTGAAAGAGTGTTCAGACACCCTCTTTGACGCGTCTCCCAGCTTCCCAGTGACCTCTTCAGGATTGGAAAGTTACATGTTCAAGACCTAATTTGTTACTAGTACTGTAGCTTCTTGTTTCTAGCAGTAAGGCCAGGAGCGCCCCTAGTAGCGTCTGTTGCTCCTATAGTAGCGATGCCCTTTATGCTCCCTTCGTAGCTTCTTGTTACTATAGTAACCTGTTCGTGACCGACCCACCACTGCGAGATCAAGTCGGGTCTAGTGACTTCTGACACTGCGGGCCCTCTTAGGAGACTCTCGAGCGCTCTGCTTTCTGCTCCTGTGCGGTGCCGATCCACACGAGACGACGGGAACTGGAAGCTCTGCTTGGGACCTGGCCATGGCCCACAATCGCCGCGGCTCGCATGACGAGGCGCGCGGAGCGCGTTCTACCGCGCGCTCGCTTCCGTGGGCGTCGCGACCGCTGGCGGTGGCCGATCGGCAGGTCATGGCGATGTTGGAGTCACGGAGTGAGCCAGGATGGGAGGATCGCCTGCTGGCGCAGTGGCGTCAGTGAGAAGTTGGTCTCAAAAAGTGAGACCCAAAGGATGGCAGCCTGTCGCCAGGCTTGGGGGGAGCACCTGAGAGTACTTGCGAAAGGCACGGCCAATTCATGAGTCTCAAGATTGATGAGTTGGCATCTCTATCCTTGGGGCACAGGAGTTTGAGGCGCACCGGAATGGTACCCAAGTCCACGTTGTTTCTCCAGAAAATTCGAACATGTGCTTTCCAGAGGGTCCATATGTGGACACGGTGTACCAGATGAGAATCTGAAGATTTTGCTGGTTTTTGCTCATGTTTGTTGTACAGTTGCTGGCTTTTCGTTTTGCAGAGAGTGGAGGTTTCGCCATTGAAAAGCCAGGAAAGGCTGGGAGCAAAGCTGTGAACAGAAAAATTCTGCTGCAGGAAGCCTTGAAAACAGGGTCTGTTGCCATGATTCTTGAGTAAGAAGCCCTGCACCGTTGACAGAGCTTTTGTTGGGTGTAGCGATTTGCACATCTGCAAATCACCGGCGAAGCGCCGGCGCTTCGTCGGCTGGACGCCTTCCGCTTTCACAGTCCGTGCCTCTCAGCTTTCCCTTTCCCATTCACTCCGCCCGATGAAGCTGGAGGGATGAAGCCGTTGAGCCGCACGCCCTGCTGCGGTGGAACCGCAGGGGCGGAACCCAAAAAGGGCCGACCGGACCCATTTTCGACCGGGGATGGATCCACCGAAAGGGGACAACCGGCAACAGAGCGAAAGAAAGGCGAGGAGGGGTGCGGTTATTTGGGGGAACCTACGTCCTAAGAGCTCGACCGAAAGCGGGTTAAGCAAACCATGTCTTGAGGTGTTGTCCTATCCGCATCTAATTTCTGTGAGTCCTGATTTCGGGAACTTCCGGACGACTTCACTGGGGCAAACTCTCCTTCAACTCGACTTCGAACGGGATTCTGGGGCCTAACGAACCGGTCTTCACCAAACGGCGGAGACGCTGGGTCTGGGAGTTCTGGTGTGCGTCATGTAGATCTTCCAATGGTGCAGGAGTTCTTCCTTTTTCTTCGATAAAAACTAGCCAAGGAACTGCAGAATTGTTTGGCCTAGTTGGAAGATCCACCTGGAAACCCAGTAACAACCTGAAAGAGTTCAGGGATGTGTCCACAGACCCTGCCACTTGCTATGTAAAGGATCTCTGTCTTGCCATATTGGAAGATCAATTTGTTTCTGGTTGTTTGGTGTTCCGCAGGTATATATCTGAAGAAAAGGAGGTCGTTTTCGCCTTGAAGCATGGAAATAGACCTTTTGCAGGTGACTTCCATAGAAACCAGAGTGTTCTGATGGTTTCAACATCTTTCAACCATGCAGACAGGTGCCAAGCCATTCTGCGATCCATCCCCAAGGTTTACCTGTCTGACCTATTCGATTGGTCGGACCACCGATGGCGCCGCCATCGCTCTTCCAATTTTGCCAAGTGCACAGAGAATCTTCCACTGAGCATTGGGGTCGAGATGGGTTCTAGGTCAGTTGGTTTTCCTCACCTGCCAGCCGAGTGAGGATTGTTAGCTTTTATTGGAGCTGTGCTCCGCCTCCTCCTCCTCCTCCTCCTCCTCCTCCAGTACCAGATCATAGTTAGAGAGAGAGAGAGAGCGCCCTTTTGACCTCTTTTTGGTCGGTGATATGATGTGCTGTGTAGATCATGGAGGAACCTCACATGAGTAACCAGCAAGGTTTTTTTCTTCCGTATACTGATCTGTAACTCCCTCAATCTACGAGGCATTCTTGACATGTTCAATCCATTGGTTCTTCCGACCTGGCAACAAGCTCTTAATACCTTTGGATCTTCCAACTATTAGAGCTAAATGCTTGCTTGTCGCCCTGCGCCCCGATGCAAAGTTGCTTCAGTCTCTTCTCCCAAGGGTGGAGCCGTGGGCGAGTTGCGAAGCAGGAGCTTAGCTCGAAGTGGAGCGTGCAGGAGCCGGCAGCCAGTGTGTTTTCTGCTTCGGATGCAAAAGAAACACGTCCCCGGCCGAAGAATCTCTGAAACAGAGATATCCGCATGCCAAACGCTTGCGCACGGGAGAGAGGGAAATGTGCGAAAACGGGTCGAAAAGAGCTGTGGAAGTGATGTGGGAGTGCCACTCCCAACCACTGACCGGACATGGGAACTCTGTGTCCAATGTGGCCATGGCGAGAAAAGACACAGTTGCTCCCTCTCAACAAGAGGAAGATGAGTCTCCTTTGGACCAGCGAAGGTTCCAAAATCACTCAAAGTCCACTTCTTCATCCAGTGCTTTCATGGTCCCCCTCTTACTCGCTACCCCACACCGAAAACTCGCGCAGCCGGAAGAAGCTCCGACCACCTACGCCACGACACACGACGAACCGGTTGGGCAGCACCTCCACCCGTGCCAAAACCACGCCCAGTTCGCCCAAACCTCCGCGGAGGGAGGGGCGAGCTGAAGCCACCGGTGTTGGATGTGTTGGATCCGGTTCGACGTCGAAGTCCAAGTGCGACGGTCTTTGGGTGCGAAAGAGGCCACCCGGACCACGCTAGTAGCTTATTGTTTCTATAATAGCTTCTTGTTACTACTGCCTGGTAGCCATGCCTGGTAACCTGGGTGGGCTGAGCCATGGAAGATGAAGTCCCACGTCGCATGTGGTGTGAACGCCCGAACCCCCGGCCCCGACGGAGCGAAGAGACGAACTCGTCGCGATGCCCGAAAGGCTCCGTTCTTGGTTTCTAATAGCTTCTTGTTACTACTAGTAAGGCACTTGTTACTAGA